AATGTTTGTGTTGAAGCACCTGGTGTGGTCGTATTGTAGGTCTTAGATCACCAGGGTGTCCCTTGATTGGCATGTACGACTCCAGTATGGGAAGAGGCTGAGAGATTTGTGGAGAGAGCACCGAAGACAGATGGGGGATTGGGTGTCTGGATTTGGAGGTTGGCTTGTGATGAGTCACCTTGATTGTCATATGTAGTGGAACTACTGCTTATGTTGTTGACCCATACTCTAGTGTTGGTACTTCTCTTTCATAATGGAATATTGACAAAACCAAACTTGTCCACCCACCTCTCTACCTCTCTCTCTAGATATTTGTCCACCCACCTCTCTACCTCTCTCTCTAGATATTTGTCCACCCACCTCTCTACCTCTCTCTCTAGAAATTCTGATCCTTGTTACTGGACACAGCAATAAGTGTCGTTTCTCCCTCCGTGTAACTGATATCATCTTGATCTTTATCCTTCAGAACAATAAGAGGCCGTAAAGAATGCTTGACCAGTACAAGATCACAACCAGAATAGGATGTTTTGTGACAATATACATGAGCCTATATGAGCCCAAGTTCCCTTGAACCTGGCACAAAGCCTTCTGCCTGTATTGCCCATACTTACAGCTGTAATTGGCTGTGGTTGAGAGGCATGTTATGAGGTGTTTCGTTATGAGGTGGTGTTCCAAAGAGAACATTTAGAGTTAAGTATGTTGGAAGATGATGTATCTGTTAATTTTGTCTATGTACGCTAAGACACACCTGTGTTTTGCTGAGGTTATGAGGAACACATTCTTCACAACATCAAGAGCTTCCTTTTAAGATCCGGCTTCTCACCTGCTTCCAAGTCGTTATTTGTCCACTGGGTGCAGCGTCCTGCTTCTGTGTACCTGTAAAGTGGGTGACATGACACCATACAGGAGTGTTTACTTTTCAAGTGACTCTCATAGGTTCATTTGTTTTCATGAGACAACTCAATATGGCTGCAGTTAAGGCTTGCCGGAAACTTCAAGTTGACTAATTTCCCTGAAGATGTTTTTGAGTAGCGACAGGCTCGTTTCCTGAAGTGATGGATGAGTCCCCTGATGGTGGGAAGAGGCACTCGCTCTTCAGTAGCTGACACAGCTGGAATACTGTAGACTAGGAACACTGCTGTAGACTATTTCCCACAACACTACTGTAGACTATTTCCCACAACACTACTGTAGACTGTTTCTCACAACACTACTGTACACTATTTCCCACAACACTACTGTAGACTATTTCCCACAACACTACTGTAGACTATTTCCCACAACACTACTGTAGACTATTTCCCCACACTACACTGCTGTACACTATTTCCCACAACACTACTGTAGACTGTTTCCCTACAAACACTGCTGTTTCCCACAACACTACTGTACACTATTTCCCACAACACTACTGTAGACTGTTTCCCACAACACTACTGTAGACTATTTCCCACAACACTACTGTAGACTATTTCCCACAACACTGCTGTAGACTATTTCCCACAACACTACTGTAGACTATTTCCCACAACACTACTGTAGACTATTTCCCACAACACTACTGTAGACTATTTCCCACAACACTGCTGTAGACTATTTCCCACAACACTGCTGTAGACTATTTCCCACAACACTACTGTAGACTATTTCCCACAACACTGTAGACTGTAGACTATTTCCCACAACACTACTGTAGACTATTTCCCACAACACTACTGTAGACTATTTCCCACAACACTACTGTAGACTATTTCCCACAACACTACTGTAGACTATTTCCCACAACACTACTGTAGACTATTTCCCACAACACTACTGTAGACTATTTCCCACAACACTGCTGTAGACTATTTCCCACAACACTGCTGTAGACTATTTCCCACAACACTGCTGTAGACTATTTCCCACAACACTGCTGTAGACTATTTCCCACAACACTGCTGTAGACTATTTCCCACAACACTACTGTAGACTATTTCCCACAACACTGCTGTAGACTATTTCCCACAACACTACTGTAGACTATTTCCCTACAACACTACTGTAGACTATTTCCCACAACACTGCTGTAGACTATTTCCCACAACACTACTGTAGACTATTTCCCACAACACTACTGTAGACTATTTCCCACAACACTACTGTACTGCTGTGTAGACTATTTCCCACAACACTGCTGTAGACTATTTCCCCAACAACACTGCTGTAGACTATTTCCCACAACACTACTGTAGACTATTTCCCACAACACTGCTTTGTTTCCCACAACACTGCTGTAGACTATTTCCCACAACACTACTGTAGACTATTTCCCACAACACTACTGTAGACTATTTCCCACAACACTGCTGTAGACTATTTCCCACAACACTGCTGTAGACTATTTCCCACAACACTGCTGTAGACTATTTCCCACAACACTGCTGTAGACTATTTCCCACAACACTACTGTAGACTATTTCCCACAACACTACTGTAGACTATTTCCCACAACACTGCTGTAGACTATTTCCCACAACACTACTGTAGACTATTTCCCACAACACTGCTGTAGACTATTTCCCACAACACTGCTGTAGACTATTTCCCACAACACTGCTGTAGACTATTTCCCACAACACTGCTGTAGACTGTTTCCCACAACACTGCTGTAGACTGTTTCCCACAACACTGCTGAAGACTATTTCCCACAACACTGCTGTAGACTATTTCCCACAACACTGCTGTAGACTATATAAACTATTAATCATGTTACGAAGATACAGGAAAGACAGACAATATAATCTGGTTTTGTCTTGGGGTAGCCAGACAATATTTTCATGTTATAGATAATATAACATGTTTCATTGCATAGCATTCTATGAGGGAACAGTGGCAATATTCTATAAACTATTAATATATACATAGAATGCACAAATATACAACAACAAAAACAATACACAGACACATTTCACATATCAATGAGGCACCTCATAAAACATGTAGCATAATGACATGGAAACAACATGAGTGAGGAAATGTAGGGTGGTACAAGAAATCTGTTTACAAGCATAGATATGATGATGATATATCCCAGATATTGTTGTTGGGTTATATCAAGGGAAGCCAGACATTATTGTCAGGTTATATCACGGGAAGGCAGATCTTGTTGTCAGTCTAACACAAGTGTCGGCCGGGCATTGCAACATGTAGAGAAACTCATGGTAGCATAATTATAAGAATGACATGCTCAGTGAATGTGATATGGGAACATTGTATGACATTGAGAACTGTGGCAGTGACACAGGTTCATCCATTTTCTGGTGATCAGTCAGTAATATGATTGACTGTCTGAGGGGAATCAATTACATCTCCCAATAGGTTAATAAGATCCAGTCTGGACAGAAACTTAACATCTTGACGGACTGGTGTAGCTGCCAGTTGTACGGCTGGACTTGGGGGAAATTGAGTCATTACTGTAGTCTGGCACCACAGGACATCACCCCCAGAGTAGAACAGTCCCCTACACATGACATTTGTAAGATATAACAGATTTATCACACCCCTCCAAGCCAGTCATTCAGGATACCCTCCTGTACCTAACCATCCAATCAGATGCAGAGAGAAATAGTGGACATAGATGAACAGATGAAACATGATTGTTTGGTTTCTTGGCAAACCCTTCCCCATGTTGGCAAAATGTGTGAACCCCTTTCTGGTTCCCCTGCCGTAGATGTTGCTGGAATATTGCTAAAAGCGGCATAAAACCAAACTCACTCACTCAATCTCGGCAAACCCAACTGATAATATGAATATGAATGGCATTGACAGTACAGAGTGGTGAAATATATGAAGTTCCTGAGAGTGGTGTACACCACACATGAAGGGTGAGGCCTGATTTGTACAGTGTACACACAGGATCACAGGATTTGTACAGTGTACACCCACACAGGTAGCAGGATGAGGCCCTGATTTGTACACACAGGATCCAGGGTGAGGCCCTGATTTGTACAGTGTACACCACACACAGGTAGCAGGGTGAGGCCCTGATTTGTACAGTGTACACCACACACAGGATCCAGGGTGAGGCCCTGATTTGTACAGTGTACACCACACACAGGTAGCAGGGTGAGGCCCTGATTTGTACAGTGTACACAGGATCCAGGGTGAGGCCCTGATTTGTACAGTGTACACCACACACAGGTAGCAGGGTGAGGCCCTGATTTGTACAGTGTACACCACACACAGGATCCAGGGTGAGGCCCTGATTTGTACAGTGTACACCACACACAGGTAGCAGGGTGAGGCCCTGATTTGTACAGTGTACACCACACACAGGTAGCAGGGTGAGGCCCTGATTTGTACAGTGTACACCACACACACAGGTAGCAGGGTGAGGCCCTGATTTGTACAGTGTACCACACACAGTGATCCAGGGTGAGGCCCTGATTTGTACAGTGTACACAGGTAGCAGGGTGAGGCCCTGATTTGTACAGTGTACACCACACACAGGATCCAGGGTGAGGCCCTGATTTGTACAGTGTACACCACACACAGGTAGCAGGGTGAGGCCCTGATTTGTACAGTGTACACCACACACAGGTAGCAGGGTGAGGCCCTGATTTGTACAGTGTACACCACACACAGGAAGCAGGGTGAGGCCCTGACAGGAACCATTCAACCACCACTTCCAACTTCAAGTTCCCCATGTCCCCCACTCACTCACTCACTCACTCCGATTAGTTGTGACTGAGAGGACAAATCTGATTGGTGTTGGGATGAAGAGGCAGTCGTCCATAAGCTGGTTATAACATATGTTATATAATTACTATGGCTGTGTTACTGAGGTCCAAGGAAGTATTCCCATAATGAAAATTAAGATCATTTCCAAAATGTGTAATGCAACTTGAAGCAAGTTCATCCAATATAAGTTACTTTATAGATGTTGCTCCTGATGTCCTAGTTCACTGTTCTTCTCAGTTCAACATCAGTATATATACTATATCATCATTTTGTTTCAGTCAGAGAACTCAGTTGGGAGAAAAACAAACATGGCTGTCACTGCATCTTCTTGGAGACGAGTGTCGGACTGACTGGGTAGAAGATGTTCCGTGAAGAATGTTCAGTAGGGTCAGTCTGTCTCTAATTGGTTGTAATGGAGGAAATTCTTGACCACACAAAGAATCAATGGTTTACACTGTCAGCCTGTTGTGAACAGAAGTTGGTCCAGATCCCTCCAGTCTTTGTTTGATCCAGCAACAGGAACACAGCTGACTGAGGGAAGGACCAGCAGAAGGATTGTCTGTTGAGGATCCAGGAATCACAAGATGTATCGGCAACCATTTGGTACATGCCCTGAATCATCAGTAAGAAGAATGTTATGTAGTAGATGAGGTTCAGTTTAGATCCAGTGTTGAGCCCAGGTCAGAATCCACATCTAAAACATGACATGATCCCTAAACAGATCCAGTGTGAGGTCCATGAGTGAATACAGATCAGGATCCGGATATGATCTGGTACAGATCCAACAATGAGATCCAATATGAGGTGGACACAGATAACAAAGTCTCTTTCGTGTGAGTTGAAGAAAGCAGCCTCTTCCACACCTGGTGTTGACAGCGTTGTTGGGAGAGGTTCTGACTTGCTGGTTTGTCTGCACCACAGTCTGTAGGCTTGAACTCAGACAGAGGAGTTCAAGTGTAGAGCTAGTGTTACCAGCCAACAAGACAAATATAAGTACTAAAAGAAACAAAACCTTGATATAAACTTCCATGAAGTATTTCCATGTGACCCTCACTCAATAAACATCACAGAGGTTGGCAGTGCCTCGTGTTCAGGGTTGAGGAGGCCCCATTGTCTGGGTGTTCCTTATCCTTCAGAAGATGGGGTGTGAGTGACCACATTCTTCCTAAACTTGCAGCTGTAGTTCCAGTCATCAGTACACCTGTGTATCTCTGTGATGGGAATATGTGTGTAGTGTTCTTCTTGGATATACCTGGATTATACCTGGAAACTACCTGAACAAGCAAGGACACTTGCCACAGGTGAGTACAATCGGTTTTAGTAGTTGTGTGACCTCTGCCCACTATCTTTGGAGGCGATCGAGTAAGTTGGTCTATATTGTTTCATGCTCTATACATTGTGCCTCAGGTGTTGTAATTTATTTGCCAAGACAGTTAAGTTTAATCAGCTTTATGACCATAATAATAAACCCAGGTAGATAAGGACAATTACAGTTTCACTTTCACCTGTCTGGAAGATGGACCAGCAGAGGTGAATTGAGCTGACCTCTGCCCCAGTGACAGCCATTTGTCTGGCAAGATCACCCCTCAACATCCCCATCATGACCCAACAATTATTGTGTTTGCTGTTTTGGCTACCAAATGTTCTACAAATGCTAAATGGGATGTCTTGGCAATAAATGGCAGCCTTGCATCCACCATCAATCGTTTTCTCCCTTGTGTGTGGAACTAGCATTTACTTCCAGCCCATTTGCATCCATGTTCTGCACTTCAAAGAAGGTGTGTTGTGTGTCCTGCTCTACACTAATGCTATGGACTGTTAATGGATTATGTTAGGTTTGTTTCTCTTTAATGGTTTGACTGGGTCGCCTTGACCCTGGAGTTATTGACCGAGGAGTAGGTGTTCGGTTGTATGGATGCTGTGCTTCACACAGGCCCTAAGTTGATCCCCGGTACAATTCCAGTGTACTTCTGGTGTCAATTTAGTGCCCGTCAGGGATTAGTGGTAATACTAGGGGCATGGTTTCACAAAGTGTCATTCCTGGTTTTCCATACATCACTGATCTGTCGTAAACTTGTGTCCAGTGTCCAGTGACTTGAAAGTGGACAGGAGTGTGAGACGCTGTCTGTAATTAGAGGCCCCGGAACGTCCAGCCTCGGGGTGCAGATTATTGCTCTTTGTCAAGCGAAGCGATGTCAAATTTGTAATTGTTTATTGTTGTTTTGTTGTTGTATGATGTTAGCTTGGTCTGTATTCATGAAGGGTATTTATTGCCATATATCAAACAGTCAAGAAGTTGAAGGTACCTTAACTTTCCAAACAGTTTGGCTTAATCCTCTTATGCTTGAACATATGTGGATGAAACGTCTGGTCGTGTATTTAGTGAAGATCAGAAAGAGTTTGTCCCATGTTACATTCCTGCACTGCTGGAAGGAAGGAGTAGGAAGATGGCAATATATTCCCTCACTCTCCATGCCTCCCTTTTAACATTGAACAGAATTCTTCAACAGAATAGAAAAACTCTTTTATCTTTCTCTTTCTTCAATTTTTGTGAGTCGTGGCTTTTTAAGCCCAGTTTTAAGAAAAGTGGATTGGAAACTGCTCTGGTCCTGTAGTCCATGCCAGTAGTTGGAAGGGACACCTCACTATAATTATCAGGCCATGCCGTGGATGCATCCAGGGTATAGTGGAGAGTGATTGTAACGTGTACCCTGGAGATTATATCGAGGATGCCTCCATGGGGAATATCTCCACTTAATATTCATGACCACTACTGTGTACATTGCTCTGCATGACCACAGCTTCACTGGAATAAGTACCTAGCATAGACAGCCACTGTATCATCCATGTTCTGTCAGACATGGCCACAGCTTCACTGGAATAAGTACCTAACATAGACAGCCACTGTACCATCCATGTTCTGTCAGACTGGCCACAGCTTCACTGGAATAAGTGCCTAGCATAGACAGCCACTGTACCATCCATGTTCTGTCAGACATGGCCACAGCTTCACTGGAATAAGTACCTAGCATAGACAGCCACTGTACCATCCATGTTCTGTCAGACATGGCCACAGCTTCACTGGAATAAGTGCCTAGCATAGACAGCCACTGTATCATCAGTGTTCTGTCAGACATGGCCACAGCTTCCCTGGAATAAGTACCTAGCAGAGGCAGCCACTGTATCATCCATGTTCTGTCAGACATGGCCACAGCTTCACTGGAATAAGTACCTAGCATAGACAGCCACTGTATCATCCATGTTCTGTCAGACATGGCCACAGCTTCACTGGAATAAGTACCTAGCATAGGCAGCCACTGTATCATCAGTGTTCTGTCAGACATGGCCACAGCTTCCCTGGAATAAGTACCTAGCATAGACAGCCACTGTATCATCCATGTTCTGTCAGACATGGCCACAGCTTCACTGGAATAAGTACCTAGCATAGACAGCCACTGTATCATCCATGTTCTGTCAGACATGGCCACAGCTTCACTGGAATAAGTGCCTAGCATAGACAGCCACTGTATCATCCATGTTCTGTCAGACATGACCACAGCTTCCCTGGAATAAGTACCTAGCATAGACAGCCACAGTACCATCCATGTTCTGTCAGACATGGCCACAGCTTCACTGGAATAAGTACCTAGCATAGGCAGCCACTGTATCATCCATGTTCTGTCAGACATGGCCACAGCTTCACTGGAATAAGTGCCTAGCATAGACAGCCACTGTATCATCCATGTTCTGTCAGACATGGCCACAGCTTCACTGGAATAAGTGCCTAGCATAGACAGCCATTGTACCATCCATGTTCTGTCAGACATGGCCACTCTCACTCTCTCTCTCTCTCTCTCTTTTTTCACACACACACACACACACACGCTGGTCGTGCATGTAGATGGCAATCAAATGGTCCTCCGTATCTCATGCCTTTATTCAGCTGTCTTTGACTGGGCAGGCCTGCTCCTTACCGTGTAATGTAGGTAAATATTGATTTTATCCCCTTCCATTAATACCTGGCTGGAAACTGCTGACAATTTACTGTTCCATCAATACAAACTGTGTGAGGACCGATGTGTTTGAGAGTTCGGTGGACCCTGCCTGACTACCTGAAGAATGACAGAATGGTGTTCCAGTTATAGTTGCACTTTAATTGGATCTTTTCATAATCATTCTGTGTCAGCCATGATGAGTTGTGATGTAGTCTGTCACGTCTCCCCAGGGCTCTCCACCCCTATTGTAGCAGTCTATGAAACCTGATAAAAAATGTAATTTGGCAAATAATATATAATAACAGATTATTTAGCAACAAAGCGGGGAGGATAATATGTTTAACCCAGCCTATAGATAGATTGTCATGGCCTGAGGTCACCGACCTCTTTCATCAGGTTGTGCCCTAGGGTCTACAGGAGATTAGAAAGCTGAACACCTCCGTAACCTGTTGAATTCATATTCAGGATCTTCAATGTGGGGATGAAATTCCCCTGTATCAGTTCACGCCAAATCTGCCCTGAAGAAAGGGAGATGAGGCTGGCAACAATAATTCAAAGCACACTTCATTGGCATGTACATTTTCGTTGTATTCTGTATGTACTGTAGCAGAAAATAGATTACCCTATTTTTAAATTACACGCACATGTAATGTGGGCCTTTTTAACTTCACCACGTCTTCAAATTGCACACACACACACAATGTGCCCCCTATATCACACATAATGTGTCCCGTATATCACACATAATGTGCCCCCTACATCACACATAATGTGCCCCCATACATCACACACATAATGTGCCCCTATATCACACATAATGTGCCCCCATACATCACACATAATGTGCCCCCCATACATCACACACAATGTGCCCCCTATATAACACATAATGTGCCCCCTATATCACACAATGTGCCCCCAATAGTACACACAATGTACCCCCAATAGTACACAGTGTGTGTCTGTGACTAACACACATACAGTATGCAGCCAGTAGCAAACATTTGTTCCCAATACCATGCATTGTGTCTCCTCCAACATACTGGTGTCCCCCGCCATGATATTGCTGGAATATTGCTAAAAGCGGCGTAAAACTAAACTCAATCACTCTCTAACATACACACTACTTTGATGTAAAAGCTTATGTAACTATCTTGTTATCTTTTGTGCCCAACTTGATGTAAAGGCTAGTGTTACTGCCTTTTAAAGAGTTTTGTGCCCAACTTGATGTAAAGGATTGTGTTACTACCTTTTTGTAAAGCCCTGTGTCACAAGCTTGATGTAAAGTCTTGTGCAACTAGGTTGATGTAAAACGTTGTGTCAAGCTTGATGAAATGAGTGAGTGAGTTTATTTTTATGCAGCACTCAGAAATATTCCATCTATATGGCGGTGGTCTGTAAATAATGGAGTCTCCACCTGACAATCCAGTGATCAACAGCACGAGCATCGATCTACGCAATTGGGATACAATGTGTCATCCAAGTCAGCGAGCCTGGCCACCCAATCCTGTTAGTCGCCTATTATGACAAGAATGGATTACTAAAGATCAATTCTAACCCGGATCTTCACGGGTCAAGCTTGATGAAAAGACATATGATAGTAACACCCAAAGTGAAATGAGACCTTCACACACAAAATGAGATAAGTGTGATGTCGCTGGAAAAACATCCACAAGCCATGTTTGCTACACATGTGTTTTATTTACATAAACACAGCAACTTCTCCAGACAGCTGGCCTCCACTAATGACCTTCTACTGTGTGAAACCTTTGCTTTTTCCTGTCAGTATCTCATGAATTATTACTGTAGATACACAATGACTGTGTGAGGTTGCGGGTGTATTCTATCCCCATGTAGGTCAGAGGTTACAGGTCAGTAGGGGTCACCTGTACAAGTTCTTCCCAAGTCGGTGTCATGGCATCCTCGTCATGCAGCTCATGATAGTGAGTGAGTTTAGTTTTACGCTGCACTCAGCAATATTCCAGCTATATGGCGGCAAATGGGAACCGATGACATGTGTCAACCAAGTCGGCGAGCCTCACCACCCGATCCAGTTGGTCGCCTTTTGTGGCCAGCATGGGTTAAGAGTAAACACTAGAACAGAATGCTTCTGTTTCTGACAATATCATGGATGCTGATTCCAGGTAGATTCCAGGTTAGAACAGGTCCCCAGCAACCACTGCTGGCTGTAACAAGTCCCAGCAACCTCTGCTGGCTGTAACAGGTCCCCAGCAACCTCCCCTGGCTGTAACAGGTCCCCAGCAACCTCTGCTGGCTGTAACAGGTCCCCAGCAACCTCTGCTGGC